ATTATCGTCTAGCGCACACAATTATAGTCTTACATGTAATGCTGGTTAGGGCAGGACCTCTAACCTTCATATCCTCACTCCTCGCTTTCACCCCTGCACTCTGCATCGTTAGCCCCTTCACCTCCGCATCTAGCTTTGTGAGCTTAGCTCTACTCCATGAGCTCCCATAACCCACCTTTGGAAAGCCTCACAAATGTCTCTGTGATGACAATGAAGTTGCACAGTATGTGCCACCCTGGGTCACCAGGGACAGGCTGCTTCGGAAGGTGCACACTGCACTAAGTTCCCTTGTGATCAGGGTGCGGCGGGCAAAGACCCCTTGTATCACCAGCTAACCATCAACTCCGAGCTGAATGTCAGGTATTCACTGGCTTACCTACATGCCGTAATGCTCATGTGAGATTCAACTCTCAACAATCAAAGGAGAATAAATGCCAGAACAGGAGTAGCCGTGTTCTTTACTCTAAGTTTCACTGTCCAGGAAAAATATGTTTTTAATGTTCTTTACAATGGCTGTGTGTATGTAGGTCTTCTTTCAACTGTGTTCCTAAATTTTTTTTCATGCTTTAAAAGAAAAAATTGGATTAATTTATACTGTCATTCGAGTCTACAACGATAAATAATGGTGATAAGGACCAAAAATTAAGGTCCATGATGCAGGAATTTTTACTGTTTAATTCACTGCCACATCCCCAGTGTTTTACAACAGTACCTAGCATGTAAGGCACTAAGTATTTGTTAAATTAACTAAGGGAATCAACCAAGTAAAACACAGAAATACATACTTTCAATGGGAAAACCCCAAAGGAGGGTGGTACCAAAAGAAAGCAATTGCATTCTGCCCCTCCTCTCACTAAAAAAAAAAAAAAAAACAAAAAACAAAAAACGAAGGAAGAAAGAAAAGAAAAAGGGGTGCCTGGGTGGCTCAGTTACTTAAGGATCTGACTCTTGATATCGGCTTAGGTCATGATCTCAGGGTCGTATGATCAAGCCCCATATCAGGCTACACTCTGGGCATGGAGTCTGCTTGAGATTCTCTCTCTCCCTCACCGTCCCCCTCTGCCCCTTTTCTCTCTCTCAAAACAAAAAAGCAACTGCATTAAGGAGCCATTTGCATCTCTTCTGTCACCATCGAGCTTTACGATAAAAATAAATAATTTTTCAAAAGAAAATTTCTCCACCTTAAACAAATATAACCAGAACACCTTTCTGGTTGTAGATTTAATTACATTGCACTTTAGGTATAATGAGAACACTGTTCAAAGTAAAAGCCAGACGCATTTGGAAATGAATCCTAGGAAATCATACACCTGGAATCCTAGGTATAGAATCCAGTATGTCCATGAGCAAGTTACTTAATATCTCTAAAATACTTCAGAGGTTTACTCTGTGAATAAAATCAGAAAACACATATAAAGTACTCAGCACAAAGACCACTTGGAACCTGTCACAGTAATTAGAGTGAGAAGTGGTTAGAAGCTAAATTAGGAGAAAGGCCACTTGCCCTCAGATTCTAACAATCAAAACAAATATTTTAAAAGCCACAAGGCTCCACATATATGACCTTTATAGTAAGTACTCAGTAAATGTTAGTTTTTTCATCTATCCCTCTTTTTCAAACCTTGAAGGAAACTGTCCAATTATCAGACTGTAGCAGGCATAATATAGAGTACATCCATATAAAAAAGCAATTAGTATAATCATTAATTAGGGGCAAACATCAGAAGCAAGGCTTTAATTAAAGTCACAGAGTCAGGGGCGCCTGGGTGGCTCAGTCGTTAAGCGTCTGCCTTGGGCTCAGGTCATGATCCCAGGGTCCTGGGATCGAGCCCCGCATCAGGGTCCTTGCTCCACAGAGAGCCTGCTTCTCCCTCTCCCTCTACCTGCCGCTTCCCCTGCTTGTGCTCTCTCTCTCTGTCAAATAAATAAATATTTTTTAAAAAATAAAAATTAAAAAAATAAAGTTACAGAGACTAAGGAAAGCAACAGAATGAATGAATGAATAAATAAAGTGGCAGAATAAATTAAGGACAATAATATGAAAATATGCAGCTTGGAGCCAAACTATGGGGAACCCTGAACACAAATCACCTTAATTCTATAAACCATGGGAAAATCAATAAATTCTTTAGAGTAAAAAAAAATACAAAAACCAAAACAACTAGACTACACTTGAGAAAGAGGGTTCTCTGAACAATACAGGATGGCATAAAAGGCATATGGAACTGGAAGCAGGGTAGCCAGTTAAGGGAATATCAGGTAGTGTGAGCCTAAAATTGTACAGGGACAGTTTGCCCTCAAGTTTTAAGCACTGGGGGGAGGGGGAACTGCAAAGTCCAAGGCACGACAGACACTATGTGAAGTCTGTATTTTCATTTCACAGAATCATGGTTAAAACCCAATTTCTGACTAAATACAGTGTGGGATCCTGGGTCAAATCCTAATACAGGACAGGAAAAACTTGTGAAAGCCACATAAGTGTGTGCTTTAGTTTACAGTATCTTCCTGGGGTTCATTTCTTAGTTTTGAGAAATGTTCTACGGTCATGTGAAACATTAAAGTAAGAGGAAGCCGGGTGAAGGATATACAGGCACTCTCTGTACTATTATTAGACTTACAGAAGAGTTGCGAAATTTTTTCAAAATAGTTTTTTAAAACAAGAACAGCAAAATCATCTGCTCACTACAAAAAAAAAAAAAAAACACTCTATATAGGTGAAGTATCAAACCCAAAGGACGCTATTCTACCCCAGGCCCCAAAGAAGTGGTTGGGAATGAAAGGGAAGATGTAACAGAAGGAGCTACGTGAAGCACCCACCACACATTATGTTTAATAACCCCATATAAGTGTCTGAGCACCTGGAATTATCTGTAGTTCCTAAAATGGCTTCAGAGATTCCTGAGCCCCCTATGCTATATATGAGAGTATCTGTATATTTTCCTGAGGTTCTATAAAACACTTAAAAATCACTAATTAGATATGAAAACTAGAGAACCCAAACTAACAGAAAGTAAAATTCTGTATAGCTTCCCAACATTGATAAGACAAATCTCCAGCTTTAAAAAAAAAAAAAAGGATAGGCTCAATGTACAAAAACTGCAAACAAAATTACAATCCAAATAAAAAGGAAAAATACTGGAAACACAGACAACCCCGAAGAGTAAAAGCAGAGCAAGAATAGACGGTTTGCTGAAAATTAAACAGAGATTCCAGGATAGAACATCACGTAACAAGAGGAAAGGCCAGCTAATCTATGAAATCGTAAACGTTCCTGAACCCATCACAGAGCTGAGGTGCTACAGAGCTGAGCAGTACCAAGAACTGCTTCCAAAGAGTGACAAGTCCCAGCAAGAAAAGACAAGACCTATGAACATGCCCTTCAGGTGCGCATGGGAGGAAGAAGTGGCTGCAATAAAAGCAGGAAAGAAAAAAACAGCTAAGTGTTTTTAGCACTCTTCAAGGCTGAGTGAGGACTAGTGTGACAGGTTCACATACCTGGGAACCCGTCACCAGGAGTTCTATACTCACTCACAAGCACATCATTTCACTTACTCAGCTACAATGTTTGGATAAGGGAGGACTCACATTAAGAAGGTGAGTCCCAGGTTAACTACCTGGCAGGTATTTTACAATATGAAAAAAATTCTAAGGCTAAACATTTTTAATATATCCAGACACAGGTAATTTTTTTAAGTTGTATGTCTAATATATCCAGTAAGAAATACTAGATGAAAGAGGTTTATGGTAATAGGATTTCAAAAATCAAGAGGGCAGGGGCGCCTGGGTGACTCAGTCATTAAGCCTCTGCCTTCAGCTCAGGTCATGATTCCAAGGTCCTGGGATCGAGCCCCGCATCGGGCTCCCTGCTATGCGGGAAGCCTGCTTCTCCCTCTCCCGCTCCCCCTGCTTGTGTTCCCTCCCTGGAGTATATCTCTCTCTGTCAAATAAATAAATAAAATCTTCTCCCTCTCCCACTCCCCCTGCCTGTGCTCCCTCCCTCGCTGTCTCTGTCAAATAAATAAATAAAATCTTCTCCTTCTCCCACTCCCCCTGCCTGTGCTCCCTCCCTTGCTGTGTCTCTCTCTGTCAAATAAATAAAATCTTCTCCCTCTCCCACTCCCCCTGCCTGTGCTCCCTCCCTCGCTGTGTCTCTGTCAAATAAATAAATAAAATCTTTAAAAAAAAAATCAAGAGGGTGTTCAGATGCCTAGGCCACAGTTAGAGGACAGAATGGAACACAATGACGCATCACCGTGTACCACGTCAGGAGTCCCTGCACAACACTAGGCGGCAAAGGTGAGGACATCCAGGGGAAGGGAGTGATACTGACACACAAAGGCCAGATCCTCCCCAACTAAGTAAACTGCATGGCCCTCCGCTGGGACCAGGGAAGTGTGAAGATAGGAGCAGGGAAGAAAAGAAAAACAATTTCTAAAAACTGTAACTGGACTAAACTCTAAGAGAACCATGGACCTCACGGAGGCCTGAGTGCTCGGGAAAACAGCCAGCCTCTTTATGTTTATATATGCTCAGGAAGGCACCAGAGAAAGATCTTTATGTCCTGGAACCTTTCCCTTCCTAAAACTCAACCATCCTTATCATCATGTTGCACAAGGAAAATCCGGGCACTCTCTTAGAGTCGAGAAAAAGTTAGCTACATTATGTACCTCAACTTAAAAAAATATAATAACGTCAAGTTGTAGAGCTAAATAATCACGGCTGAATGTATTAGGTATCTGCGTGGTAAAATTACTGGCAGAAGAGATAAAAGAGCGTCTGGCCCTCAAGCGTCCTGTGGTTCTGACCAGGATATTGCACATGTTGTATACAGTGGTGCCCCCACAACACCTAACACAGGGACATACACACACTCAGAAAACTGTCAGCACCATAAAGAACCTGAAACACAAACGGTACTCCGTATCAACACCACCTGTTTTTTTGGCAGGCGAAAGAGTACAAGACAAATACATTTATTGAGGATTCCCTCTTTGACCTACCCGTTCTTGTAGAAGTTCCACCACCTGCTGGACACAGTCGTTCACATCACAAGAGTCTGTCTTCAGCACCAATTCAGGAGCCTCTGGCTTTTCATACTCAGAATCGATTCCAGTGAAACCTATGAAAGGAACCAGGTGCGAGAGGGGGGTGGAAATTGAGACAGGCTTATTTCTTCATTGCAAGTCTCTGCTCCGTCAAAGTTTGTATTTATGCTGTCCCTTCTGAGTTACAGGGTTATGGTACTGAAACTTCTTTCTTGGGAGAAGATTTCTGATTAAACTTTCATTTCGCCTTTAAACACATATAGTCGATTCCCATTCGCAGTTCAATAATGTTTCACAAACACTAAATTAGTGAATCCTGAATCACGGGCTCCTAGGGGAAACATGGGGTTAGGTTCCTGCAAGCTTCAGTCATCATAAAATTTTTTGACCCTTCTTTGTGGTACGAAAGCTGAAACACGAAGGCCGAGTGTCATTTTGTTCAACCTCCGCTGGGAACACATACTTGGGGTGGCTAAAACTTTTGCCACTCTGCATGTGTCCACAAGTGACTGCCAAAGCACCGTGAGTACTGATGTGGGGGTTAAAAAACTTTAGTGAGTAGAAAAACTTGCAAGTATGGACTCTCCAAAGGATGAGGACTGATTCTTCTTCTTCTGCGCCTAAATGCCTAAACTGCCAATGGAGAAATAGGAATGAATACCAAGGGATCCAGAGCATCTCAATTTCTCCAGGGGAATATAGGATATTATAGTACTTAACCCCTGGGCATAAGCCAAACTCAACAAGGTTTTCTTCCTCTCCATGCAAAAACTGACACCAAAGTTTATCTGTCCATTATATTCACAGGGATTATCTATGGCCAAATTGAAGCTCTGCAGGCTGCTTCTGCCACCAGGATTAAGTGTTCAGGCAAGACAAATTAACTACTACTAGCTTTAGCAAAACATAAATAAGAACGGTAATCCTGTTGTATCACGAAATATACTCCACAACCAAACATAATTAGTTTAGATATTAACCCCTATTTAGATTTTCCCTTTAAATATGCGTTACCAAGGAACTGCCAAGAAAGAATGCATGATGTTTCTCAAGAATGGGCTAGCTGAGCTGAACATATGCTGTTCCATCACCTCATACATAAGTCACTTAAGGCCAGTCTGCCTTGCAGTGCTTAGGTCAACCTTGGGGTAGAATGGTAAACATTAATTTAAAATCATTACTATTCAGAGGAACAGTCACCAAGAGAGTTCTAAAATATATACTACAAGTCTACAGCCCACTTATTTTTTTCTATTTCATATTTCTAAGTATCACATGAAGTCCTGAATCCAAGAAGGAGATGTCTGCATTACCAATATTCCTAAAAGAGTCACAGTAAAATAGTTGGGGAAAAATAATTCTGATCAAAACAAAACACTAGTTGTTTGTTTGTTTTTTAAGAGAGAGTGTGTGTCTAGGGGGGAGAGGCAGAGGGAGAGAGAGAATCTTAAGCAGTCTCCACGCCCAGTGCAGAGCCCAATGCAAGGCTTGATCTCACAACCCTGCGATCATGACCTGAGCCGAAATCAAGACTTGGACACTTAACTGACTGAGCCACCCAGGTGCCCCTAGAACACTAGTTCTTAAGCTTCAGTTCTCAAATGCACACAATGGAATCGCCAGGTCCCACCCCCATGAGATTCCAATTTCACTGGTATAGCTTTGGCATCGGATTTTTAAACGTTTCCCCAGGTAATGCTAATGTGCAGCAAACCTTGAAAACCACTGTGTTGGAAGACCTGGCTTAGCATTTTAGAAGTCCAGGAATTCCCTTCCTAGCTAATTTATCCTGCGATTATAATAAATGTACACGTAAGAACATTTATATTTAAGCAGATAATAACTATGAGTAGTAATCATGAAAATAATCTAGCATTAGAATGGCTGACACGGGATGCCTGGGTGGCTCAGTCGGTTAAGCGTCTGCCTTCGGCTCAGGTCATGATCCCCGGGTCCTGGGATCGAGTCCCGCATCGGGCTCCCTTCTCCGTGGGGAGCCTGCTTCTCCCTCTGCCTCTGCCTCTCTCTCTCTCTCTCTCTCTCTCTCATGAATAAATAAAATCTTAAAAAAAAAAAAAAAAAAGAATGGTTGACACAGGGATACATTTACAGTTTAGTAAATGTCACATAAAGGCATACAAAAGCCGAGGTCCGCTGAATGTATGCAATCTCTTCTGTCCTCAAACATTTACCACCACAGCTCTGAGACTGCATTGACAGGGAACTTTCAAGCACTATTCTGACAATGAGTAAACGATTTTTAAAAACAAACAACTCTACAATCAGAAACTCTAACACCATGGCAAAGATAATGTTTGTACACAGGCACACATATATATATTAACCTAAGGAACATTTTATCAATGTCTACTCAGAGGATTTTGTTTTTTAAGATTTATTTGAGAGAGAGAAATCGTGCGTGCACGCGCACAGCAGGGGTAGGGACAGAGGAAGAGGGAAAGAATCCCCTAGCCAACTCCCACTGAGCATGGAGCCCAACCACGGGGCTCAATCCCAGGACCCTGAGATCATGACCTGGGCCAAAACCAAGATTCAGATGCTTACTGACTAAGCCACCCAGGTGTCCCTAGTCAGAGGAATTTAAAAACACTCAGGAAAATAAACAAGTAACACAGAGAAAACTAAGCTAATACAATCACACTCCCAAAAAGAGAATGCAAATTGTAAATGACTCAAGGTATTTTGCATGTGACCTTATTCATCTTTGCATCCCAGCACCAAATATATACCTCAGAAATGGAAAGCACTGATCAGTGTGTGTTGAACATCCAATTTCCACTCCTTCTAATCTATCCAACAAGCATTTACTATGTGTGTGTCAGGCATTAGGCTTTGGGCCTCACACTGGGCTAAACTCTTAATGATAGAAAAACAGTCAAGATGTTACCCCTGTTGGGGCGCCTGGGTGGCTCAGTTGGTTAAGCGACTGCCTTCGGCTCAGGTCATGATCCTGGAGTCCCGGGATCGAGTCCCGCATCGGGCTCCCTGCTCGGCAGGGAGTCTGCTTCTCCCTCTGACCCTCCCCCCTCTCATGTGCTCTCTCTCTCATTCTCTGTCTGTCAAATAAATAAAATAAAATCTTTAAAAAAAAAAAAAAAAAAAAAGATGTTACCCCTGTCCACAGTAGCTTACTCCAGAGCGAGAGAGACAAATCTACCTCTCTCACCAGTCCATCCTTGCAAAAACAACAAAATCAACTACAATTAAAATAAGATTTAGACTTCAGGATCCCAGACACATCACTTCGTTTCTCTTTGCCAAATCTTTACTATGAAAAACTGAAGTGAAAACTGGCCATCAACAAACAGAGGGTGATACAGATGATAAAAAGAGCTAAACTGGTTTCCCTCCCCATGTCGTAAATTATTCAGGTCAGACAACCTGTTGAGTCAAAAACTGCAGCCTTAATGGGTGAAACTGCATCTCCATGGTGGCACAACTGGATGTCAGGCTGGCCTAAGGAACCAGATTTCACACAGCAGGTGGCACTCGCCCCAACCGCTAATGTGTCCCCAGGTCCAACTAGAGAAGAGCCCAGAATAAAAAGAATTGCCCTTCCTGTTCCACCTTTTCTTATGCAGGGCCAGAAGCTGAGTGACAAAATCTCGAATTCGCAGAGCCCCGGGGAGCTCCTATGATCGTCCCAGGCTATCATACTCCCTCTATTGGGAACACATCAAAGTTACCTGCATGAATCATTGATCCCTACACAGTGCTGACTGGGTAATCGGTCCTTGATTTTTTTTTTAATGCTGGCATTTCCTCTGTTAACAATAGAACAGAATTAGGGCGCCTGGGTGGCTCAGTTGGTTAAGCAACTGCCTTCGGCTCGGGTCATGATCCCGGAGTCCCGGGATCGAGTCCCGCATCAGGCTCCCTGCTCAGCAGGGAATCTGCTTCTCCCTCTGACCCTCCTCCCTCTCATGCTGTCTCTCATTCTCTCTCGCGCAAATAAATAAAATCTTAAAAAAAAAATTAAAAAAAAAAAAAAACAATAGAACAGAATTAATATCCAAGTATGTCTTGAGGATAAATACGACTGGTATCAAAGGCCACAGCAGACAGGTTCTTAATGTCTCTTATGTCCAAATGTTCACCACAGTTGAAACTCTAGAAGCAAACCATAAAATCTAAAAAACAAGGTACTTCTATTTTGATGGAATCAGCAATATATTAATTCAACCTAATTCAACAATTGTACACAGAACGAATAAGGGACCATTCCAAGCACCACGATATAAATAAGAACGAGACACTGTCTTTGCTCTCAAGATGTTTCTAATGCAGGCATTTTTCCCATTAGCTATGGAATTTCCTTCATTTTCACTGGAACAAAAAGCAGAAGGGACAGCAGCTAGCAACTGATACTCAGTCTAAAGTTAGGCACCTAATTATATCAAGTAGGTTTCCAGCAGTCCCTGAGGTCCCAACCTTCTAAAACTCTGTCCTGTGAGTAGGATTCCAATCTGATCAACAATACCTGAGTACACACAGCGCCAGATAGTGCCGGTAGGCCTCAGAGACACAAGAGTGTAGTAAGACCCACTTTTTCTTCTCAAGGAGCTCCAAGTTGTTTGAATACTGCCAATCTCTTAGTAAAGATGATCCGTCTCAAATATGATAGGCTAAAATATGCAAGCATATTTTATGCTGGCTGGCTCAGTCAGAACACGCAGCTCTTGATTTCAGGATTGAGTTCAAGCCCCACGTTGGGTGTAGAGATTACTTAAAAAATAGAATCTTAAAAAAAAAAAAAAAATGCAAGCAAAGAGGAACTGGAAAAAAAATAGTACTTACCTTTAATTTCTCCAGCCCGTGCTTTTTTGTAGAGTCCCTTGACATCCCTCTGTTCACAAACGTGCAGAGGAGCATCAACAAATACTTCAAAAAAAGGTAAACTTGCACCCTCATGAATTTGCCTTGCATTGTTGCGATCCTTAGAAAAAAGACATACAGCTGAGTCAGTGGAAAATAAATACTAGACAAAACCATTTATATTTTAAAATATAAACTGAGGGGCGCCTGGGGGCTCAGTCAGTTAAGCCTCTGACCGACTTTGACTCAGGTCATGATCTTGGGGTCCTGGGATCAAGCCCAGCATCGTGCTCCACACTCAGCAGGGAGTCTGCTTGAGGATTCTCTCTCTCTCCCTCTGCCCCACCCTCCACTTGTGCACACACGCTTGCGCTCTCTCTCAAATAAATTTTTTTTTTTAAAGATTTTATTTATTTGACAGAGAGAGACACAGCGAGAGAGGGAACACAAGCAGGGGGAGTGGGAGAGGGAGAAACAGGCTTCCCGCGGAGCAAGGAGCCTGATGTGGGGCTCGATCCCAGGACCCTGGGATCATGACCTGAGCCCAAGGCAGACGCTTAACAACTGAGCCACCCAGGCACCCCCATATATATATTTTTAGATTTTATTAATTTATTTGAGAGAGGTCCTGGGATCGAGCCCCGCATCGGGCTCCCTGCTTGCCAGGAAGCCTGCTTCTCCCTCTCCCACTCCCCCTGCTTGTGTTCTCTCTCTCGTTGTGTCTCTAAAGATTTAAAATATATATATATACACATATGTGTGTGTATATATATACGTGTGTGTGTGTGCATATATATATATAGGGTGCCTGGGTGGCTCAGTTGGTTAAGCATCTGCCTTCCGCTTGAGTCATGGTCCCGGGGGGCCTGGGATGGAGCCCCGAGTCAGGCTCCCTGCTCAGCGGGGAGTCTGCTTCTCACTCTGTCTCTGCACCCCCCCTCACTGTGCTCTAATAAATAAACTCTTTAAATATATACATATCTATAAACTGAATAAAAATTAAATCTAGGAAATTATAAGGTTAATATACCCATTCTTTGTAACTCTTTTAAAGGGTATACTATTCTAAAAATCCAAGATATTGGGGAGTTCCAGGAGGGAAAACAATAGATGTCCCATAAAAATTTCACCAAGGGGCACCTGGGTGGCTCAGTCGGTTAAGCGTCTCCCTTTGGCTCGGGTCATGATCCCAGGGTCCTGGGATCGAGCCCCACATCAGGCTCCCTGCTTGACGGGGAATCTGCTTCTCCCTCTCCCTGCCCCCTGCTTGTGCTCTCTCTCACGTGAGCTCTCTCTCTCAAATAAACAAAATAAATTATTAAATCTTAAAAAATTAAGAAAAAAAAATTTTTTTTCACCAAATTTCTTGAGGAACCAAAGCCAAAGCCCAGCCTGAATGCAGGAGTGCATCAGGCCTCTCTCTCATAACACGTTCAACCTCAGCCTGAGCTGGCTTGAAAGCAACTTCACTTCCCAAGAAGACCATTCAGAACCCTGAGGGGGGTTTATTCACTTGCCAAACACAAGCTCCTGTGGCCACTTCTCATCTCAAGCATTCCCAAGACTTTACTTTTCTGCCCTGCCCCTAAGCCCCTAACCAGTAATCATCTTCATCGCTCCGAATGAAGCACGAATACGCCCCATCTCTTCTCCGCTACATAAGCGTGTCTATATGCCCACTACCTTGGTCTCGCTCAGTCCTGCCACTCCCCGCTTCAGATTCCAGAGCCCCATCCCCTGATCTTGCTCAACCCGTTATCCCTACTCCATCTGAAATCTTCAGCCTCTGCCCTCTCGGCCAGCTTTTTTCCCCGGGGCAACAAACAAGTACAAGTCACTCATCCATGAAAAACAAGAGAACTAACAAATCACACAAAATCCCTTAATCACGGGTACTCTTCAGCCCTTAAATGACAGGACTTTCTGCTGTATCTCACACTACTAACCCTATGTATGCCGACGATGCTACCCCCTGACCATTCCTAATGCATGCTCCCCTGGGCTCGTCCTACTTTCCCATCCCTCCAATACTGCTGTTGCCCACAGTCCATCAGGAACCCACTGCTCACATTAAGTCCTTGAGCACTTTTCTCAGCTGCCTTCACGATGTCAACTACAACATATACACCAACACTTAAGCCTGAGCCCTGCCCTCTCTCCTGAAATTAAACACGTTTCCAGCTTCCTCCTAAATATACCCACCTGGAGATCCCACAGCTACCTCAAACTTAGCATGTCCATAATTGAGTCCATTCTCTCTTCCCCCAAGCTGGAATCCCGCCTATACTAACCAAATCAAAGATGACAACACTATTCACCCAGAATCCCAAGAGCTGTTCTGGTTCCTTCCCTTTGCCCCACACCCCCACCCCTGGCATTCCGTCACAAAGTCCTTCAGATTTTGCCTCTAAATATTATACCAACCCAGTTTGCATTGCTTCCCTGCTCCCTAGTTCACCTCATTCCTCATCTGGTCAATTGCTACACCCTTTTAAAAGTCTGTTGGCTTCTAGCTTTGATCTACTCAAAGCCATACTCTAACACTGTCCCCTGAATGACAGACGATGCAAATTCAACCATGTCACTAACTTTACAGAGATTCCCCACCACCGTCAGGGTAAAACACAAACTTCTTAGTGGGAGGCTTCAGGCCTTCTATACCTGGCCCCACCATTCTCAGTCTTGCACTTGATGTTCTATTAGTAATTAAAGGCTGTTTGGGCCTTATGCCTTAGCCATCTCCCCTGCCAGAAACCCTCCACTCCTCTCTTCTGCCTAAAGCAATATGCATCTCACAGCACCGATCCGTGGTGCAGTCCTCTAGGAAGCTCACCCTGCATCCCCAGAATGATGGAGGGCCCTTGCTTCCTCTGGCTTCTGGGAGAACCCACTATATACCTGTCATAGATCTTATTCTGATACTCTGATTCTCTTTTCATTAGCCACAGCATGTAGCAGAATGACTAAGTAGTGACCTTATTAACTGATTCCAGCTGTCCTTTTAAATGAAGGGGTTTCCAAGTTTCTAGCCATGGCTCTCTTCTCATTCTATACAACTCCTCCATATACTCAACTTCAACTAGGTTTCAATTTACAGTTAATGATTCCTAAATCTATCTCAATTCTACACAGCTCTCCTGAGCTCCAGAACCAATGTTCCAATGACCCACTTAGATACGCCACTAGGATTTCAAACCTAACCCACCTAAAAAGAAATAGTCATCTCCTCCCTTCCCATCCTGTATTTTCTACCTCAATCATTCCATCTTCTATTCAGAAAGCACCGTCCTTCATGTTCACCCCAAATTCAGCAATCAACCAGGCACCACATCCTACTGATGCTACGGGCTCAAGAGCCCTCAAATGCACCCTCTCTTTTCCATTCCCATTGTTGTTGCTTGAATTCACTCCAAAAGCCTCTTCACTCATCTCCTATCTCCAGGCCACTCTTATTCCGGGCTTCAAAGGGGGCCTTACTGAAATGCAAACCCAGAGACAGCATTCCCTAGTACAATTTCAAACTGTTTAGTCCCCTGTGGGGCAAAGTTCTGAGCAGTGAAGGTTTATCATCGGACCTCTGTAAATCGCTCTACCTTCATCTCCCCTCACATTCATCCTGCACCGCAGTCATTACATCTACCTACAGTCCCCCGAAAGATCGAATTCCCTCACATTTCCATGCTGCTGCAGACCCTGTACCGTCTCCTCTGTCGAAATAGCTTTCTCCCTCCTCTCTCACTGGTATGCTCTGATTCCTCCCCACAACTCAGTTCAAGCAGCACCTCCTCTGTGAGTCTTCCACGGCATCTTTCATAGATACTTACCTCATTGCCAGCTGCAACGTACTGTAACTGTTCACACCTCTATGTTCCCACCAGACTAGCTAGGAACTATCAGGTTTACCTTGCGAACCAAGATGTCCTAGTTCAATGGTGACATGGAATAATACACATATCCTCTATTATATGGTTTGATGCAAATATCACAGATTTTGACACATCCTAAGCATAGTCCAAACCCCATTCTTAGTGCTTTGAGAGATGAGATCAACAAAATTTTACTTCATACTATGGAAACAAGGGAGCCAAAAAGGAGATCAGCATGTACTTTAGAGACCCAGCTGACAGCTCTCCAAATCCCGTGTTACTCTCTCCTCTTCCAAGAGTTGCACAAAGTCCCAAAAGTGCAAGAATATCAGTTATTATATTACTATGAAAACTTCATATCCAAGGATTCAAGAACTCAAACTATCATTCTCTTCTACACTTCATTATCTAGTACACTTTAAACTGATATACTAACATTGTTCCCAATGTTTCAGGAAAATGAAAAGTAACTAGTCCTCACAGGACCTTTCAGGACTCCTGCCATGGTTCAATTAAGTGAATCTTTGTAATTAACACTCCATCTGATACTTACCTATAACTCTAACAGCTCATATTTTGGTGTTGCTTTTAAAAAAGTCTACGTAACCATCCAAATTCACAATACAGTACTAGAACTGTGCTATTATTTGTTATATTTACTGAATACTTACCACACACCAGGCACTGCGCTGAGAGCTTTGGATGCATGATTTACCTAATCCTCAGAGCAACCCTATGAGGTAGGCATTGTCTGAGCTTATGAAAGTCAAGTCAACTGGCCAAGGTCATAACAACAACTGGCAGAGCTGAATTCCAACCCACTGTTTCTGGCCCCAAAGCCCCTGCCTTTAACCACATAGTAATTCACCTGTTCTTTCACATCTGAGTTATGCTGTCATTTAATAAACACTAAATATCTACTGTGTTCCAGGAGCTGGACCTGGCATCAAGATTATAAAGACAAATAAGATGTAGTTTCAGCCTTCGAGGAGCCAGTGGATTTTAGAGGTTATGAGGCATGGTGGGTGAGAGCATGGATTCCAGTGACACTGTCTGGGTGCAAATCCTTGCTCTACCATGTACAGTATGTGATCCTGGGTAATTTACACCTGTCTCCTCACCACTGCCTTTTTTTTTTTTTTTTTAAGATTTTATTTATTTGAAAGAGAGAGTGAACAGGGGGCGGGGCAGAGGGGGAGGGAGAGGAAAAGAGAATCTCAAGCACACTCCACACTAAGTGCAGAACCCGACGCAGGACTCAATCTCAGGACCCTGAGACCATGACCTCAGACAAAACCAAGCGTCAGACGCTTAACCGACTGAGCCACCCAGGCGCCCCACCTCTGCCTTCTTCACTGGCTGTGAGCACTAAAGGAGTTAATTCATAGTATACAGCTGGTGTTCAATAAAGGTTAGCCGCTATGATTTTTATCACTACTACTACTATTGCTGCTGTATTAGCACCACCAATCAACGATACCATATGAGAATGATGGTGTGTTACAGGGAAACAATGCGTTATGGCACAATTATAAGGGCACCAAAGACAGGTGTCCCACAAAGCCCAAAGGACAAAGGGAAGGTACTCAGGAGGAGGAGACACCTACCCTGAGTCTCAAAGCACAAACAGGAGTCAAGTGATGTGGAGAAGGATCGGTGGAAGAAGAAGAGTGCCTTTCAGGCAGGGGAACAAAAAAATCTCCCGGTGAGAAACAACATGGTTTTTTAAGAGAAATACGAAAAAAGTGAAATGGTGCTAAAATAAGAGGAAGAATGTAATAAAAGAGGAGACCGAAGATCTAGAAGCAAAGTAGCCATAGTCAGGCACATGTGAAAAAACTGAAGACTTTCCCTGGTGTCGGACACATGTTGAGTATTTACTATGTGTTTACTGAATTGAAAAGTCAAGCTTGAAATAATTTGGCCACTGGCTTGAGGTCAACAAGTCTGCTTATACTGGGAAGGGAGGGGTCACAGCAGGTTTTATCAAAACTGAATTTACTCAGAAAGTCACAGCACAGAAATGCCGTAGGTTAATTTAAAATAATTAAAATAAAATAAAGTATTTGCATTGAGCTTCAAAGCACAGGTCAGTTTTAAACTGTTCGTTCTACCTGATAGCATACTCTCAATGACATGAGAACAGCAAGAGCACAAAAGCCACATACCTGAGTATAAGGTGATATAAAACTCGTGATGCATACTAAGCCAGCATCTGCAAACAGCTTAGCAACTTCTGCAATGCGTCGAACATTCTCCTCTCTGTCTTCAGGACTGAAGCCAAGATTCTTATTGAGACCCTGACGAATGTTGTCACCATCCAAAGTGTAGCATGGGATACCGTGGCACACCAAGTACTCCTCTAAAGCCATGCTCACTGTGGTCTTTCCTGCTCCAGATAAGCCTGAAAGTGAACAGTCCAAGCACAGTTCAGATGCAGCATTAGAAGGATAACCACATAGTAATAAAGAATTTAAATCACAGCTTTAATTACATTCATTATTCATAGCCATCTCTCAGTAACACTTTTCCCACATTTCTCTATAAGATTTACATCTTAGCTAGAAAAACATCTGTAGTTCAAATAAAATAAGCATTTATGTTTTTTGGGTTTTCTAAATTACAACAGACATTTATTTAAAGTAATACATTTGCAGCTCAAATAGTTCGAAACTGCACATTTCAGGTTTACCCAACTTCTTAAAAATATTTGAGGAGAGCTGCAACGACAGATTTCAACTCCATGATTACTTCTTCGCCTACTCCTCTATTTTCTTTGCCGAGCAACTTCGTTCAGATGGGGTTCAAGGTAGAATTGATCCTGCTCATATTTTGTCCACTGCTCATTACGCAAGATCTGCTGCCTCGTGGTCAGATCCAGTGCTCTCTCAGTGTGAAACACCCTGTGGTTATACAGGTTCTCAGGAAGCCTTATGGCCTCTTTCACATCATCATTCTCATATACTGTATCATCTCACATTAACTCCAGCATTGTGATACCATTTCTGAATACCCTCTAGCCACCAGCTTGTTGCTGCAAGGCCTGTTCGCCACTTTGACCCAAGACTACAGCGTTGCCTACTCAAGCATTTATGTTTTTAATAACTCCTGTCTATGCCCAAAGGTATTCTAGAAATTACTCAGTTTCAGAGGGTATTCACTTTGTTCTCATTACCACTATTCCAATGCTACATGCCAAAGTAAAAACAGAGTAGTATGCCCAAATTATTTCTAGGGAGGTAAGAAAAAGGACAAAAGTAAGTAAAAATAAACATTATAAAGTTATTTCTATATCCCAGAATCAATACATTCCACAGACTACCATGATAAAAGTACCTGGGAGTCCAATTTATAATATAATTAACCTTGAAAGAACATCCTTACCTCAACTCACCTTCCTCTACCAATGACGTTTACTCACTAAACAACAAGGAAAAGGAAAGCATGTATGTATGCACTAGAACATGCCATCTCGATGAGTATGCAAGCACAGAATTCACAACTAAGGTAGTGATGAGGCAAGAGATAAAAACGGAAGTCTCACGTACTGATTCCTTTGAAAGAAGTCATGATGGTAGAAGGCTAACTTAAAAAAAAAAAGTGGATTATGTGTTAGGAGGATCAATAGTATTAACTGCTTTATACATTAAAAACTTGTATGTTGGGGAGCCTGGGTGGTACAGTAGGTTGAGCATCTGACTCTTGGTTTCCACTCAGGTCAGGATCTCATGGTCACTCAGTGTGGGGTCTGCTTGAGCTTCTCTCTCCCTCTCTCTCTGCCCCTCCCACTCATGCTCTTTAAATCTAAAAAATAAAAATAAAAAATAAAAAACCTTGTATAGCGGATCTTATTTTCCAAAGATGGCTGCAACAGAATTTCCCACCCTGCAACCTCTTTGACCATGTAACATCGCCACTGTGACATCAAGAGGTAGAGTCTAATTCCCTGCCCTTGAATCTGGGCTGGCCTTAGGATTCACCTATCATGAAAAAAATGCAGTGAAAATGACAATGTGTGACTTCCAAGGCAGGGTCAGAAAAAGCTGTTACGCAGTTTCTCTTTGGACCCTCCATTTGAGAGAAGCCCGCTATTAAATATACCGAGGCCACCATGCTAGCAAGATCACGACTAGGTGGTTCAGCCAGCTAAGCCCCCAGCTGACAGGTAGCATCAAGCGAGTTAGTGATCACCGACTCCAGCAGGTGAGCCTTTAGACATCAGGGAAAATCACCCCGCTGAGCCCTCCTGAATTCCTTACCCACAACATGGTAAGCAAATTAAAACGGTTGGTTTACACCACTAGGTTCTGGGTGATTTGTTACACAGCAACAATAACTGAACAAACAGATGGAGGCAGGGGGTTCTGTCTTTTGTTGTTTTTAACCAGCAGCTGAGCACTAAGTATGAGAAGAAGAAGAAAAAAAAAAAAAACAATCCTGAAACCTGAACTCTTAGACTTTATACAAGACAACCTAAATGATAATAAAAGTACCTATTTATACATACGTGTATATATATACTCATTTTATGTATGTATTTAGTTTGAAACAAAGTAAAGAGAGAAACAAAAAAAAAAAGAGACTGCTGAAAATTTAATTACTGACACAGGAAGTTTCATTGATGATGATTACAGGGAACACAGACAAAAAGGCAAAGAAATTAAAGCAGAGGAAATTAATACACAATTACAAGAGAGAAAATCCAAAACTAGATAAGGAAAATCAGTGTACCTGAAGAAAAGGAACCAAATGTACTGGACTGACTAATTCCCCACCCCCCCAAATTCATACACACCGGGAACCTCAGAATGTGGCCTTAGTTGTAAACAGGGTCTTTGCGGATGTAATTAGTTAAATTAAAATGAGGTCATACAGTACTAGGATGGGCACTAAATCCAGCGATGGGTATCACTACCAGGCCATGTGAGGATGAAAGCAGGGACTGGAGGGCGCCTGGGTGGCTCAGTTGGTTAAGCGACTGCCTTCAGCTCAGGTCATGGTCCCACGGTCCTGGGATCGAGTCCCGCATCGGGCTCCCTGCTCGGCGGGAGGCCTGCTTCTCCCTCTCCCACTCCCCCTGCTTGTGTTCCCGCTCTCGCTGTGTCTCTCTCTGTCAAATAAATAAATAAAATCTTTAAAAAAAAAAAAAAGAAAAGAAAGCAGGGACTGGAGCACGACATCTACAAACCCAGGGAGCACACAGGACTGCTAACAACCTCCAGGAGCTAGGCAAGCGGCCTGCAGCAGCAGATTCTCCCTCAGAGCTTACAGAAGGAACTAACCCCACCAAAACCGTCATTTCAGACTCCCAGCCTCCAGAACTGTTAAGAGAATAAATCTCTGGTGTTTGAAGCCACACCGCTGTGTAAAATAGTTTGTTACAGCAGCCCTGGGACACTAGTACATGTAAAGATATAAAGGAAAGTTCATCTGAAATAAAAATCTGAGAAAAAGCAAACTGCATTCCAAGAAAATGGCAAACAACTCAAAACAGCTTGACGGATCCTGGTTAAGCTACTGAATTGCAAGAAAAGGGAAGAAATCTTTACTTCCATTTCCAACAATATTGTCAAAAAAAAAAAAAAGGGGCGCCTGGGTGGCTCAGTTGGTTAAGCGACTGCCTTCGGCTCAGGTCATGATCCTGGAGTCCCGGAATCGAGTCCCGCATCGGGCTCCCTGCTCGGCGGGGAGCCTGCTTCTGCCTCTGACCCTCCCCCCCTCTCATGTGCTCTCTCTCAAATAAATAAATAAAATCTTTAAAAAAAAAAAAAAAAAAGATCAACAAAGGCTACGGAAGATTTGATAACATAATTAACAAACTTGATCTAAGGAACATATGTAGAACATTGCACATGTCAGGGAATAGATGTTCTTTTCAAATATGTATTTACGAAAACTGATTATCTACGAGATCATAAAACAAGTACCAAAAAATCTGAAAAACAGTATTTATAAGCATCACAAGTGGTCAGATCAATGGAATAAACCATGTTCAAGGAAAGGATTACCCAATATTGTAAAGATCAATTTTCCCCAAAATTGACCTTTATTTTTTTTTTTTTTTAAGATGTTTATTTATTTATTCATGAGAGACAGAGAGAGAGAGAGGCAGAGGGAGAAACAGGCTCCCAAGGAGCAGAGAGCCCAATGCGGGACTCAATCCCAGGACCCTGGGATCATGACCTGAGCCGAAGGCAGACGCTTAACCATCTGAGCCACCGAGGTGCCCACAAAATTGACCTTTAGATACAATGTAATCCCAAACTAAATCCCTACCAGATTTTCGAGGAACTGGTTAAACCAATTACAAAATTTACACAATAATGCAAAGAGCCCCCCCCCCCCCAAAGGTTAAGATATTCCTGATGAAGAATAAGGTAAGAGGACTTACTTCACTGGACTTCAAGACTTATATAGTAAGACAATGTGGCAATAAAAGAGGAATCGACCAGTAGGATAGATCAGAGAGCCCAGAAACAAATCCACACATAAGTGGAAATGTGACATGACACCTGGCATTGCACAAAAAAAAGGATGACCTCATCAATATACGCTCGAGACAAACGATTATCCACATGGAAAAAAAAGAAAATAGATCCCTCCCTCACATACACACAAAAATCAACTACAGATTGATAAAGGGCCTAAATAAGAAAGGTAAAACTTCTAAATAAAGGAAAAGAAACAATTTTTCTGGGACCCAGATGAAAAAAGGAAAGCTCCTAAAAAGGAAAAAAAAAAAAAAAAATCAAATTAGTCTCACACCTCTTCACATCATTTAATACCAGAAGACAGTGGAATAATGTTTTAAGAACTTCAAGACAAAAAAAGTATGAAGTACAAATCAAATATATATTTTACCCAGTCAAATCGTCGTAAAAGACAGGCAGACATTCTCAAATATAAAAACTCAGAGAATTCAAAATCCAGTGAGCACTATCTTACAAAAACAATTTAATGATGAAATATAAACACTTAAAACTGGACCCAGAGAAAGAGCTCATGATTGAACAACGCCATAATAAAAGAACTAATGGTGAGTTGATGGATATAGAATCAATTTACTTACAGAACTCAAACACAAACAATTATGAAAATTTTAAATTTAAGATTAAGAATTATGAAAATTTAAGAATGTGTTACAGGGGTGCTTGGGTGGCTCAGTCATTAAGCGTCTGCCTTCGGCTCAGGTCATGATCCCAGGGTCCTGGGATCAAGCCCCACATCGGGCTCCTTCCTCGGCGGGAAGCCTGCTTCTCCCTCTCCCACTCCCCCTGCTTGTGTTCCCTCTCTCGCTGTGTCTCTCTCTGTCAAATAAATAAATAAAATCTTTAAAAAATAAATAAATAAATAAGATGCATTCGGGTTTTTCCCTTTATTTCAACAGCAATTCTGTAAAGAACAAAAGGAATTACCAAAAGGAAATATGTTACAATTAAGCAACATTGTTAGTTACATGTAGTGATGTTCCAAATACAAGAACAGCTCAGAATTTAAATAAATAGGCTTCATCCTGGTTCAAGGCTACTTTTGAAATTAACTAATTTCTCTCTCTTGACCGTACCTGTCAGCCAAACTGTGCAACCACGAAAACCACCTCGGGTCCCCACGACCTGACCTCTCTTGTTCCTGCTGACATGATGAGCTTGATAGGTGACATTAGTTGCTCTCTGCATCCCCTGGAAAAAAGAAACAAAATTCTGATTCACCTGAGTCCTTTAAAAAGTAAACACATATTCTTCGCTGTCACTGTTCTGTATAACATGCCATAAGCAAAGAAAAAGATTAAAGCTAACAGCTTTCTTTTCTTTGTAGTACCTAGTATGGCCTTTGATGCTTTACATACACCACTGAATTTAACCTGTGGTTTTACAAATGAAGATATTAAACCTGAGAAAAGTTAAATGGCTTGACCGAAGTTCCCATAACAAGGGAAGGCTCTCCAGAGCCCAGTCTTCCACTCACTGAATCATTCATTCAACCAGTATTTACTGAGGCCCTACCAGTTTACCAAGTGAACTAAACACAGGGTCCCTGCCCTCACTGAGCTTACATTCCACTGGGGAGACAAAGCAATAAAACTTTATTGTAATATCAAAGAGTAACTAGTGCATCACAGAAAATAAAACAGGGTATGACTGGAAAGAGGGATCAGGGAGGAGTGCCTCTTTAGACAGGCTGATCAACAAAGGCCTCCAAGAAGGTAGCATCTAAGCAGACTCCTGAACAAAGTATGGAAGGTCTGTAGGTATCATGAAATGCACGATGGGAAAAAAAAAAGAGATGCATTGTTTATTTGTGGTTATTCCACAAAAAAAGTGGAATGCAATTTTTCTTCCAAATTATCTTCTTAAACAAAAAGAACATAAATTTACACAGGCCTCAAAGAATCTGAATAGCCATTTCTCCAAAGAAAAAATACAAATGACAAATTAGGCAGATTAAAAGATGTTCAGGGGCACTTGGGTGGCTCAATCAGTTGAGCATCTGACTCTTGATTTGAGCTCAGGTCACGATCTCAGGGTTGTAAGATTGAGCCCCACATGGGTCTCCACACTAGACGTATGGAGCCTGCTTGGAATTCTCTCTCCTCTGACCCCCATTCTCTCTCAAAAAAAAAAAAAAATTCAGTATCATTAGCCATCAGAAAACGGCACATCAAATCAAAACCACAAGGAGATACCTCTACAAACCACTAGAATGGCTATAATCAAAAAGACAGTAACAAGTGCTAGTGACAATACTGAGAATTTAGAATCCTCATACATTTGCTGGTGAAAATGTAAAATAATAGAGCCACTTTGGAAAACAGCACTTTCGCAAAATGTTAAATATACAGTTACCATATGACCAAATAATTAAACTCACAGATGTATACTCACAAGAAATGAAAACACATCCACATAAAACATATATACCAAGTTCACAGCAGCATTATTCATAAAAGCCAAAAAGTGGAAACAACCCAATTGTCCATCAATTGAAAATTAGATAAAATACTTTAAAATTTATATATCCATTCAATGGAATATTATCTGGCTGTAAAAAGGAATGAATTTCTCAAACTCATTACAATTTGGATGACCCTCAAAAACATTAAGCTAAGTGAAAGAAGTCAGTCACCAAGACCACATATGGTATAATTCCATTTATTTGAACTGTCCAAAACAGGAAAATCTAGAGACAGAAAGCAGATTAGTAATCGCCTCAGGCTGGGAGACTAGGGGCCAAGGGGCAGGGGGAGTAACTGCTAATGGGTACAGGGATCTTTTATGGGGTGACAGAAATGCTCTAAAATTGTTTGTGATGACAACTGCACAACTCTGTAAATATACTAAAAACCATTTAAACCATACACTTGAAGCAGATGAATGTATGCAAATTATATCTCAATAAAGCTGTTTTCTACAAAAAAACAAAAAAATGAATTAGAGTCTCTATTTTATCTTCCTATGGAGCAAAAACGTAATTCAGGTTCTTTTTTTATATTTATTCATTTATTTATTTATTTATTTGAGAGAGCATACACCCATGCATATGGCAGGGGCAGGGGGTTGGGGGGGCAGAGGGAGAGAATCTCAAGCAGACTCCCACTGAGCACCAAGCTCCACATGGGGCTCTATCCCACAATCCCAAGATTATGACCTAAACAAAAATCAAGAGTCCGACACCTAACCGACTGAGCCACCCAGGCGCCCCTAATTTAGGTTCTTTTTAGCAGCATGTCTTTATAAAATAGATATGTGACAGCATTTTTTTGAAAGGTGTTTGTATTTGATACTGCTTATCTTATTCAACATTCATTCAAAACTATTTACTGAATGCATACTACATGCCTGAAATTCTTCTAGGTGCTGATGAAACAAGAGTGAACAGTACCAATAAAAATCACTGTCCTCATGGGACTTACCTAGTCCTCCCGCCTAGTGCAGTGGTTCTCAAGGTGTGGCCCCTGCAGAAGCAGCTTTTGCATCTCCAGGGAACAGTTACAAATGCAAATTATCAGGTCCTGCCCCCAGGCCAAGGGAATCAGAAACTCTGGGGTAGGCCCCAACACTCTGTATTTGAAAGCCCTCCAATCGTGGGGCGCCTGGGTGGCTCAGTCGTTAAGCATCTGCCTTCGGCTCAAGTCATGATCCCAGAGTCCTCAGATCGAGCCCCGCGTCGGGCTCCCTGCTCAGTGGAGAGCCTGCTTCTCCCTCTCCCACTGCCTGCCTCTCTGCCTACCTGTGCGCTCTCTCTCTGTGTCAAATAAATAAATAAAATCTTAAAAAAAAAAAAAAAAAGAAAGCCCTCCAATCGATTATGAAGCAAGCTCGAGTTTGAAAGCCACTGGATTAATGGGAGAGCTGGGGGAAAAGATGAATAAGTTAAGGCAGGAATAAGTATCAAAAAGAGAAAAAGTCAATAAAGCAAAACTGTGAAGAAATTTCAGAGAAGTGACGTTCAGACAGGGTGGCCAGGCAAGGCTTCACCAAAAAAGAGGACACTTAACACCTGTGATGACTTCTGGGGGAAGCATCTCCACACAGTGTGCAGAATGAGCACAAGAGTGAAAAAGTGACTAGGGAAATCTAGAATGGTTGCTGGGCAGTCCTAACAACTCACATGAAGCCAACAATCATCAATTCAAAGCAAAACCAGTCACCAGGACCATGTTTTCCGCAGCCGCATCAGGGACACAAAATGAAGCAGGAGCAATTGGAGTGGATCCAACTAGAGCTGTAGTCTGGCCCAGGGGTCTTCAAAATGGGGAATAAACAGCCTTGCAGCTATAGAAGCATGAACTGTGGAGGGGGGGGGGTTGGGGGGTGTGTGTTTTGTTTTAGAAGTATGAACTTTATAAAGGAATGTATTTCTATCCAGATCTTCAACTTCTGGATGGTACTCCTTTCTAAAAATGGTCTGCCTGAGGTGCCAGATCTCTTTGCCCACCTCTCCTTCCCTGATCCTCCTAGTGTACAGGACAAAGCATCTCTGCCCTTCTGAGTCCTACTATCTCTCATTGCAGAAAATCCTCTGGGGCCAAAGGGTAATCTGACAATTCTTTGAATAGGTGCACCACAAAAGCTGTACCCCTCCTCCACTAATCATCGCATTAACAAATGCATTTCCAATAAAATTATGCTCTACATGTTCAATAATCATTTCTGAAAAATTGTAACGCGGGTCTCCCTAGCTATTTCTTTTCGATGAACTAATGAAGCAAACATTACTTTCCAGCTCTACATTTCCAAGATCTTAAACAAAAACAAGGTTCCACACATGGAAATCCTCACCTCTTGGGAATCAGGGACACCTCTTCCCATGGGTCACTAGTTTCAGCTCCCAGCCCAGGTGCCTGGGTAGAAGGGAGTGGAGTCTGAAGGGGGGGGTTGAGGGAGTGGTTTTGAGGAGGGTGCTGGATAGTTAGCTGCCTACACTGACAGAACCTGTTTGACTGGGGTCATTTTGCTTTGGGATTTATTCCAAGTTATTCTGCTTTGGGGCAAGAAGAAACATGCATCTAATGAATTTTAATTCATTCTGGCCCTGTAAAATAGCTCCTGTTTTTCTTTTTAAACTGAGTAGAATGCATAAAATTATCTGAGAATGGCTGAGGATGTGGTTTGGAGAAAATACAAGATAAGCACAGGTTGTTTTAACCACAAGAAAAGAATGCTACCTCAGGGTTCCTTGCATCCTACCTTTAAAAAACTCTGGTAGCAGATATGGCAATCTAAGGAGGCTTATTGTTTGTGCGTGTTTGAGATTTTTCATATTAAAAAACAATCTTAAAAAAAAAAAAAAAAAAGATTTTCTACAACCTCCCACCTCCCAGTTTCTCAGAATAAATCAAAGAGCATTTTTTAAAACTACTGGAAAGGCAAAGTGGTGGGATTATGCCTGAACTTTACTGAGAATCTAAAGGCCACTTCCACAAGCAATCTTCTTTCAGTCCCCCTTCCCTTCTTTTCCACCCATGCTAGCCAAATCCTTCCTATAATTCCGCCCGAAAGAAAGGACATTAGTGAGTCACTGAAGGGCGAGTGAGTTATTTCCTTCCAATTCCACACTCCTACTCTCGGTCTTCAATGGCCTAGCTTCTTTCCACAAGATGGAGAAATCAGGCTTACAATTTCTTTCCTATGAGGCTGGGTGGGTTGTAGAAATATTTATGTGGCTTGGTACGTACACCCAGGCAGTCCCTGTAATAACTTACTGCCTATATGATTTGTTCTTTAGGGACCGTTTTATACTTTCAGCTGTCTTTCTATATATATATATTTTGACTTCCTTGGGAAGGTAGGTCAAGCACTTGAGTTACAGTTCTATCTTCCCCAGCGCCCAACCTCTTTCCTTGTGCTAGTCAGTGCTCAGTAAAAGTTAGATCTGAGGCATTTATTTTAAAGCATGATTTGTTTTCTCTGTATAACTTGCAAATGAAATGATGACTGACATTCAGAAACCTTAAGTTTAGCAGAAGTGGGACAATTCATTTCAAGAGAATTTACTCACTTTCTACGCTTGGGGTTAAACAACCATCAGTCCTGTTACTAGGCTAACATCACCAGGCCTCTGATATTTGTGGTGCACATTTTCTACACATTCTACACACTTCTGTCATGACGCACACAAGTGGCCCTGTGTGCCTTTTTGACCCACCTTAATTTCCACATGGGTGGTTTTATTTTATCCA